CGCTGGCGTCCCTTGGCCTGGGCTGCGTGTGCAAGAAGGGGCTCAAGCCGGAGGGCGCGAACCAGGACGGGCCCATGCCCGACACAGACATCGACGACCACGACCACGACGACGACCACGACGACGGCGGCCACGAAGATGGCAACGACGGGGACTGCGATCGTTTGAAGAGCATTCGCCCTTCCTTGCGTGGGTGTCGTTCCTTGCTGTCTCTACCTCTCCGTTGCACTCGAACTGTAAATGTATGAGCGGATTCTCTTTGGGGGATGTTTCTTCGGTCTTGAGACGGCACGCGAACGCAGAACTCGGGCCTAAAAAGCGGGAAGAGGGAGGAGGGAGGAGGGAGACAGCGAAAGGAGGAGAGGAAGGATGGGGAGGAGGGAGGCGGTCCGCCGTAGAAGGCTCGGGTGCTCAAGAAGCGTAGAAAGGACTGGAGCACCCATACAGCGGCCGCGCCTAGGTGGCGAGAGCGCGCTTCCTGAGGAGATGACGAGGAAGTCTCAAGCGATGGCGCGGTTCTGAAGCACGCAGAACTGCGAGGACGTGTCGAGCGGGAGCCGATGTTGTTGCAGTTGGGCCCTCACCATCCTGAGCACACTGCGAGGAAGTCGTCTGGCGAGAGCGCCACTCCTGAGCGCGAGGGCATCTCTGGCCAGGAACCCAACAGAGGCAAGCTCTGATTGGGGAACGTATCCGCTAGGACCCCTACGGAGGCAAGCTGCGATTGGGGATTATCACTTGGCAGCCTTGCCTTGACGCACGAGCTGGAGATTCCTCAGGTCCGTTCGACATCTTCTGCTGAATATTGCTCATGCCCGAATCAGTGCTTGCACTAAAGGGGTCCTAGCGGAAGTTGAAAGATTTGGCGCGAAAGTTGCCCGCCGATTTTGGAAGCAGGCGGGGTTCCCGGTTCCAGGTTCCTTGGTTCCCGGTCATTGGTTTCGGGCCGATTTCGGTGGGTTCTGGGATCCCGGGTTCCTGGTCGATCTCCTCGGCGAAAACCATCCACTGATTGGGGCTTTTCTTTGGTGCAGTTTTTTAGTGGCTGTTGGCCTCTCTTGACCTCCCGGCGCCAGACGCCTTGCAGACTGCAAGGAGGCCTCGCACGAGAGCCGCCGCCGTCGTCACGGGGCGGCCGAAGACCGGCACCCGGAAGCAGACCGCCAGGCCCGCTCTCGAGCGGGAGGCCCAGCCTCGAAGAAAGATTTGCGCCCATGCCATCGAGCGAGGCAAGCAGAGCCGCCTCCACAGAGGCAAGGATTAGGTCGGGCTTGCCCACCTACAGGAGGAATATTCAAGACTGGTCAAGAAATAGTTTGGGGATGCTGTTTAAAAATGTGTGTTAACACTTGTTTCAACATGTGCTGACTATTCTTATTTTTCATCCCAGAGCCCGCCTGTAGGAGGACACGCCCGACTTAATTCAAGGGAGGAAAAAACACCCGGATCCGACAATCGGCGTTGACAAAGCGACCCGGGGCGTTTGTTCGACAGCCCTGCCCTGTTCTATTCTTTCCTTGGGTGCGTTTGCTAAACAGCGTCGCTTGTCGGGGTGGTTACTATTGGGGTGGATTTCTTGCCCTGCACAATTCAGCCACAGGTTTCGGCCCGGAGCCCCACACGGGCACGAGGACGACGAGGGCACGAGGACGACGACGACGACGACGAGGAGGTCCGGGCTCGATGCACGACGGACACGGGGCCCCTGGGGGCTCCAGAGGCTTCTGGAGGCCTCCGGGGTCACCAGGAGGGCCAGCGATCGGAGAGAAATCGAAAATTCGCACATTGTGATATTAAGTCGGGCACGTCCCACTACAAGAGGAATAATCAAAAATATTCAAAGAATAGTGTGGGGACGATCTCTCGTTTATTCTTCAATATGTTTTATTATTTGTTGACTCTGCTTTATTTTTCGTGCGAAATCTGTATGTAAAAGGACATGCCCGACCTGAATCGTAAATTTGAAATCTCCGAGCCCCGCGCAGATTTCTTGGATCAACGCTGGGACCCCCCCGGCGGCGCCTCCGGCGCTGCCCCGGGCGCGCCCCGCGTCCCGCATGCCAGGGCGTGGGCGGCGCACATCCGAGAAGTCCGCGCAAGGTTCCGAAAGTCTAAACTCATGTGGTTGTGTTTCTTGCTTGTATTCAAGTTATGATAATTGGCACCCGTCGTCGTATTATTTCGCTTGTTAATACGATGTGTCTTCTTTGATGTTGCCAGTCACATTCCGACCATCTTGATAACCAGTAGCGTTAAGTTAAACGTATCGGCATACGAAGTATCATGCGCATTAGTATAAGTTGTAGTATCCGTACGATATTCTATTGTTTTGTCAGTACTGACGTTATTGCGATTAGTTTCCGTACCGGTCTTACTTTTAGTGCGATATGACATTGATCGTACGACTCGTATGATCAACAAGATTGCTACTCGTATTAATGTTGCTACTGATGTTTTTGTCATTGTGACTGCCAGTTGTATCGTTATTGTATTTCCCGCGTGTTCAGTACTGTTCCTCTTCTTCTTCTAAGTTAGCGGGGACCAAGCCAGCGCTCACCTTCGGCGTAGTGGAGAAGTTCGGGAAGACGTGCCAACCCCAGGAGAAGCCCGATCACGGAGGTATCTGGGCATCGGCCAAAGCGGTCCCACTCGGGGACCCTGCAGCGCGGGAAGCACAAGCCCCAGATTTGCAATAGTACCGAACACGTTGTACTGCAATACGCTGCCCTCAGGCTGCGAAGGTTGGCATGGACGAGTTATTGGTCTGGTGGCAGCTGGTGGTGAGTATTCCAGAGCATTCCAGGAGCGGTGAAGAAATAGAGACATACGGTGCGGCGCTCAGTGTACAAAGTGCGGGATGGCAGGTGACCTCTGGAACATCATGGCAGAACCACAGGGGCGACCTGGTGGACGTCGCGCAGATGACGCCGGTCATGCTCGAGATGCTCCCCATGCAAGGCCTATCTCGTCAACATGAGCAGGCACTGGCGGCTAAATGGTATGGCGACCCTAGGTTGCGAGTGTCCGTTGATTTCTTGTGACCGACAGTCAGACCAGCAAGCAGGATATGCTCCAGACATCAGAAGTTTTGCTTCATGAGTTGCGCATGCGACGGGGCATGGACGCGTGTGAGGGCCAGAGCAACGGGTTACGCAGGAGAATACCCTGGCGCACAGGATGGCTGAGCATGGGTCCTGAAGTCGCGGCTGCACGTCAGGAGGCCGAAGTAGACCAAGCCGTACGCCAAGCAGCACGTGAGGCAGGTGATGACGAGCTCGCGCATCGTTGACAGCAGTGGCGAGGATGTCACTGAGGGCCTTGAGGAGATGGCGCAGTCGGTGGCGGTGGCCAACGGTGTTGCAACGGGTTCGCGATCGACGGCTCCTGTTCCAAGCCTCTGCTTTTGGAGATGCAGAGAACAGGATGGGCCACGGCAGTGCTGGGGCCTGCAGGCGATGTGCCGTTGAGGGCGATGTGCGCTCTAATCCCTGCGAGACTGCCCAAGACGCCAGCGATGGCGGAGTACCTAACCGTTGCTATGTCGGGGCAGGTCGCGGATAGGATAGCAGTCCTGCATGCCGACTTCAAGGGCACCATCTACGCCTTCAACAAGCCGGTGGAGCGATGAGCCCAGGTCAACCAGAGGCATGGTGGGTCTTCGCTCGCGCAACAATTACGCATGGTTTTGCGCATGTGGAGGAGGTCAAGCACGCGTGGGCGCACAGATCTGGAGAGGCGCATGCTGGACTGGGCGGACACGCCATGCGCATCAAGGACGCCAGCGTCGTTGCTGACCACTTCGCGGAGATGGGCGCCCGAAGGTGCCGCCCGGAGGCACGATGAGGTGCATGTCGATTGCCAGAATTGAATCCACGCGATGGCTAAGTACCGCAGTGGTTTGGCAAAGCTAATGACGCACGCGCTGCCGCTCTCTGATTTGGGAGAGGAGCGACGGCACAGGAACACCACGGGACACATGGGGCAATGAGCATCAGGGCTGACAACTGGCATAACTTGCACGACGCAGAGCTCGGACGACAACGTCGCAGGCGCTTGCGATTGTGCCCGTTTGGCAAAGACGGGGTCAACGGTTGCAGCGGCGCACCAGCGTTCCCTGGGATATCTCGTCAACGCGATGGGGCGCGAGCCAGCAGCGGTCAACCAGTAGGGCTACCTGATCGATGGGGCGTGCATGGCCGCAGTCTTCGCGCGCGCGGGATGCGGCGCGCGGGCCTTGCGGTGTCGCAAGTTCAAATTGCGCGGGCAGCGCGCTTGGCCGTCGAACAGGGGACGCGAAGCACTCATGAATTTGCTCGCGGCCGCAGTACTTGATCGATTAGCGACGACGGCGGCGCGACCTGTGCCTGACGGGCCGCATGTCTTCAAGAGACGCATAGCAAGGTCGCCTGTAATGGTCCGCGCAGGAGGATAAAAGCGAAACAACAGGCTGACGACAACGACGCCACGCCCGGCAACAGCGGCATCCCAAATGCGGTCCCGCGAGGGAAGATCGTCGGCAAGATTCGCCCAGATCAGCGGGCCGCTTGATTTCACCGAGGTGGAGATGCACTCCTTGCCAAGCGATGGGGCTAGGCCCGCGGAGGTAGCGAGCTGGGCGCATGCCTGGCGATGGTGGCAGGCTTGATACGCGGCGCGAGCCGCGGCGCGACCGCGGCTATTTCCCCGGACAGGCGACGGGGTTAGGCCCGCAGCGGAGACCGCGGGCGCAACGGTTGCAAGCTCGCGAGCGGCGGCAGCAGATCCAGTGGCCAAGCGGACCCGCGCGACAATGGGCGACGACGACGACCTTATCCACTAGTTCGGCGAGGACGAGAGCGCGCTGGACACAGACGTCTGGGCGGCCCCCCTGCGCGGCGAGGCGGCAGGCCGTTTGAAGGGGGGAGTTGAGCAGCGCGCCGAGTTCGAGAAATCGAGGAGCAGCACTGCGCCGCCGGCCCCGATGGCCACTTTGTCGCGGAACTCGACATCGCCCCTCTTCACCGGCCAAAATAGTTCATGGCAACGAATGAAAGCGCATTCCCAAGACAAACAATAGTGAAAACGA